CCCTCGACAGTGAAGAAAAACATAAGAAATATTGAGAAGATTCGTGTTAGAATCATTGAATATGACCCTTTCGGTCATGTTCAACAACATATGTTTACAAAAAGACTGCTACCAAAATATACTTTATATATATATATATATATATATATATATATATATATATATATATATATATATATATATATATAGTGTCAAGGTACGGCTTGAGAACCAGGTCAAGCTGTCAAGGTACGGCTTGAAAGCCAGGTCAAGCTGTCAAGGTACAGCTTGAGAGCCAGGTCAAGCTGTCAAGGCACAGCTTGAGAGCCAGGTCAAGCTGTCAAGGTACAGCTTGAGAGCCAGGTCAAGCTGTCAAGGCACAGCTTGAGAGCCAGGTCAAGCTGTCAAGGCACAGCTTGAGAGCCAGGTCAAGCTGTCAAGGTACAGCTTGAGAGCCAGGTCAAGCTGTCAAGGCACAGCTTGAGAGCCAGGTCAAGCTGTCAAGGTACAGCTTGAGAGCCAGGTCAAGCTGTCAAGATACAGCTTGAGAGCCAGGTCAAGCTGTCAAGGTACAGCTTGAGAGCCAGGTCAAGCTGTCAAGATACAGCTTGAGAGCCAGGTCAAGCTGTCAAGGCACAGCTTGAGAGCCAGATCAAGCTGTCAAGGTACAGCTTGAAAGCCAGGTCAAGCTGTCAAGGCACAGCTTGAGAGCCAGATCAAGCTGTCAAGGCACAGCTTGAGAGCCAGATCAAGCTGTCAAGGTACAACTTGAGAGCCAGGTCAAGCTGTCAAGGTACAGCTTGAGAGCCAGGTCAAGCTTGACACCACCAATGTCCGTGTTTCCACGCTCACAGTGTATGTGATGTTATTGACTTTATTTAGTAGATGTTTTAAGCGGTAGGACTCGGATTTAACGGTATATGTTTGCAGGTTTTAGCCTTCGGTTAATTTTGTTTAAGTATTTTATTTAAGAGAATAATGAAATATGGGATTAAAATTATTTCATGAATCGCCCGTCTCTTGCGAGGACATATTAAACAATATATCCTTTGTAAAGACATATTAAATGTGTCTATTGAGAGGAAATGTTTAATAATGAGATATTTTATTAACACGTAAGCCCATAATTCATCATTTTCGTATTAAACACACACAAATACGTCAGACAACAAGAGACATTAAACATTCCTTTAACAAGAGGAGCTCAGTCCTGTCCAAGAGGGCTCCAGACAAGAGACATTAACGTACAGGAAGAGAGAGAGAGACAAGTGTAAACAGGACAAGACGAGAGGCGGCAGAGAAAGGACATTACAGGTATTCCTGTTGAGACATTCCACGAGAGCTGTTAGATATAAGAACCACATAATGTTATAGTACTATATCTCGTCAACTCACACTATATATACTATACTCTCGTCACCTCACACTATATCTCTTCATACCACACCAACCTTTATCCAACGTCAAACATGTAACACGTCATATACACTTATATAAACACACACACATATGATATATATATATATATATATATATATATATATATATATATATATATATATATATATATATATATATATATATATATATATATATATATATATTTTATTAAATATGACCGAAAAAGTAAGATTAATAATTCTAACACGAATTTTCTCAATCTTTCGTACATTATGCTTCACTGTTGGAGGTAAATCAAAAATCACTTCTCCAAAATTCATTTTTATTTCTAGTCTGACGCGACACGGGCGCGTTTCGTAAAACTTATTACATTTTCAAAGACTTCACAAATACACAACTGATTAGAACTTGCGTTTCCCTGATTTTATATCTACATTTGAGTGAGGTGGGAAGGGTGATGTGGCATTACATTTGAGTGAGGTGGGAAGGATGATGTGGCATTAGAGGATATTAATAGGGTATTAAAAGTATCAACACAAGACAGAACACGAAACAATGGATATTGAATAGAAGTGTTTGTAGAAAGCCTATTGGTCCATATTTCTTGATGCTTCTATATTGGAGCGGAGTCTTGAGGTGGGTAGAATATAGTTGTGCAATAATGGCTGTTGATTGCTGGTGTTGACTTCTTGATGTGTAGTGCCTCGCAAACGTCAAGCCGCCTGCTATCGCTGTATCTATCGATGATTTCTGTGTTGTTTACTAGGATTTCTCTGGCGATGGTTTGGTTATGGGAAGAGATTATATGTTCCTTAATGGAGCCCTGTTGTTTATGCATCGTTAAACGCCTAGAAAGAGATGTTGTTGTCTTGCCTATATACTGGGTTTTTTGGAGCTTACAGTCCCCAAGTGGGCATTTGAAGGCATAGACGACGTTAGTCTCTTTTAAAGCGTTCTGTTTCGTGTCTGGAGAGTTTCTCATGAGTAGGCTGGCCGTTTTTCTGGTTTTATAGTAAATCGTCAGTTATCAGAGGATACAACTGACGATTTACTATAAAACCAGAAAAACGGCCAGCCTACTCATGAGAAACTCTCCAGACACGAAACAGAACGCTTTAAAAGAGACTAACGTCGTCTATGCCTTCAAATGCCCACTTGGGGACTGTAAGCTCCAAAAAACCCAGTATATAGGCAAGACAACATCTCTTTCTAGGCGTTTAACGATGCATAAACAACAGGGCTCCATTAAGGAACATATAATCTCTTCCCATAACCAAACCATCGCCAGAGAAATCCTAGTAAACAACACAGAAATCATCGATAGATACAGCGATAGCAGGCGGCTTGACGTTTGCGAGGCACTACACATCAAGAAGTCAACACCAGCAATCAACAGCCAATTATTGCACAACTATATTCTACCCACCTCAAGACTCCGCTCCAATATAGAAGCATCAAGAAATATGGACCAATAGGCTTTCTACAAACACTTCTATTCAATATCCATTGTTTCGTGTTCTGTCTTGTGTTGATACTTTTAATACCCTATTAATATCCTCTAATGCCACATCATCCTTCCCACCTCACTCAAATGTAATGCCACATCACCCTTCCCACCTCACTCAAATGTAGATATAAAATCAGGGAAACGCAAGTTCTAATCAGTTGTGTATTTGTGAAGTCTTTGAAAATGTAATAAGTTTTACGAAACGCGCCCGTGTCGCGTCAGACTAGAAATAAAAATGAATTTTGGAGAAGTGATTTTTGATTTACCTCCAACAGTGAAGCATAATGTACGAAAGATTGAGAAAATTCGTGTTAGAATTATTAATCTTACTTTTTCGGTCATATTTAATAAAATATGTCTACAGGAAAGACTGCTACCAAAATATACTAATATATATATATATATATGTCGTACCTAGTAGCCAGAACGCACTGCTCAGCCTACTATGCAAGGCCCGATTTGCCTAATAAGCCAAGTTTTCCTGAATTAATATATTTTCTCTAATTTTTTTCTTATGAAATGATAAAGCTACCCATTTCATTATGTATCAGGTCAATTATATTTTATTGGAGTTAAAATTAACGTAGATATATGACCGAACCTAACCAACCCTACCTAACCTAACCTAACCTATCTTTATAGGTTAGGTTAGGTTAGGTAGCCGGAAAAGCTAGGTTAGGTTAGGTTAGGTAGGTTAGATAGTCGAAAAACAATTAATTCATGAAAACTTGGCTTATTAGGCAAATCGGGCCTTGCATTGTAGGCTGAGAAGTGCGTTCTGGCTACTAGGTACGACATATATATATATATTAGTATATTTTGGTAGCAGTCTTTCTTGTAAACATATGTTGTTGATTATGACCGAAAGGGTAAGATTAAATGATTCTAACACGAATCTTCTCAATATTTCTTACGTTTTTCTTCGCTGTCGGGGGGGTAATTGAAAAATTAACTCTCCAAAGTTCATTTTCTCATTTTTATTTATGGTCTGACGCCTAAAAGCATTTCGCAAGACACTTCTTACATTTTCAAAGACAATTTTTACATACTCTGTTAATGCTTATATTGGTTTGGGGTGAGGTGATACAGGACATGATTGAGATGAACAAGCGGGTCAATGGGTACACTGCGTGTTTTATCCTGTTTCTGTGCTGGTTAGGGATCTTGAAGTGGGTAGAATGTAATTATGTATTAATTGGCTGTTGATCTCTGGTTTTGACATTTTGATGTGTAGGGCCTCGCTGATGTCGAGTCTCCTGCTATCACTGTATCTATCGATAATTCCTGTGTGTCTTGTTAAGATTTCTCTAGTGATGGTCTGGTTGTGTGAGGAGATTATATGTTCCTTCATGGAGCCCTGTTGTTTGTGCATTGTTCATCGCCTATAAAGAGACGTTGTTGTCTTGCCTATATATACAGAGTATGTAAATTTGTCTTTGAAAATGTAAAAAGTGTCTTGCGAAACGCTTCTAGGCGTCAGACCATAAAGTGTGAAAATGAACTTTTGGAGAGTTAATTTTTCAAATACCCTCGACAGTGAAGAAAAACATAAGAAATATTGAGAAGATTCGTGTTAGAATCATTGAATATGACCCTTTCGGTCATGTTCAACAACATATGTTTACAAAAAAGACTGCTACCAAAATATACTTTATATATATATATATATATATATATATATATATATATATATATATATATATATATATATATATATATATATATATATATAGTGTAAACACTGACACACAATAGGAGGACTGTGCACCTAGGACACCTGTACTCCATCATGACCTAGGGTTAAAGGTGCAGTTAGTGAGAGCAAGTGTTATGACAGCAAGTGCCAGCAACAGGAGGGCCTCCAGCAGCAGGAGGGCCTCCAGCAACAGGAGGACCTCCAGCAGCAGGAGGGCTTCCAGCAACAGGAGGGCCTCCAGCGCAGGAGGGCCTCCAGCAGCAGGAGGGCCTCCAGCAACAGGAGGCCCTCCAGCAGCAGGAGGGCCTCCAGCAGCAGGAGGGCCTCCAGCAACACTGAGGCCCTCCAGCAGCAGGAGGGCCTCCAGCAGCAGGAGGGCCTCCAGCAACACTGAGGCACCTTGACCAGCCTCTTTACCTTGGGCACCTTGGCGTACTTGTCCTTGCGGGTGTCTCTGATGGTCATGATGTCCAGCATCTCCGTCTCCGCCTGAAACAATACCAGCAACACCTTCAGAACACGTTTAGGCACATATTGGTAGGTCTAGGCTCTAGGTAGAGCTCTAGGCACATATTAGTAGGCCTATCGAGGATTTATATGTCTCGGTAGGCCTATATCTTCCCTGAATTAGCATTGATATACTCTTTATAAAAGCAAATGTACACAAAATGAATAATATGTAATATTATAAATATGTGATATTATTATATGTAATATGTGAATAATATGTGATATTATTCACCGCCTTAGGCCTGTGAAAGTGCAGTATTTCATTAAAATACATTAATACAACATATGCAATTTTGTAGTGGATTGGGATGGGGAGAGGGGTGTTAGGGTAGGGTGTTTGGGAAGGGGTAATAGGGTGGGGGGGAGGTAGTTATGACCGCCCACTCTCCCCCCATCTCCCCCCCCCCTCCCCACCTGCCTACGGGTTCAGTCAGCTATTGGACCTGTTTGCATACTGGACAAAATTTACATTTTCAAATATAAAGGTAAATTAGTTTGTGTGGACGCCCCTTATCAATATACTCGCCCACTACCACAGACTGTATGTATGTATGTATGTATGTATGTATGTATGTATGTATGTATGTATGTATGTATGTATGTACGTATGTATGTATATGTGTGTGTGTGTGTGTGTGTATTAGAGAAAAATATATGTAGTAGATATAATATAGGAAAAATAGATTGGTTAGAAAGGCGAGGTCCAAGAGCTAAATAGCGCGATTCTTCACACAGAAATAGCAAATACACAAACACATGCCAAACACAAAAAAACACACACACATGAGAGAATTAAATAAATTCCCGTAAGAAATACCGGTTTAACCAGGTCACAGTGGACATGGTGTGCGGGTCGCCAGAAGCAACAGCCTGACCCATCATCACCACACAACCCTGGCCTCAGGCCGGAGAGTAGATCTCTCGAAACCCACAACAGGTAAACACAGACTAAAACACATCAGTCCTCACATTTAATCCACAAAAAAAGTCATTCTGACGCTCTCAACCTCATCGTCAATGACTATAGAAAAACACTGGAGCGGACCGAGGGGCACCGTAGCCCACCACATATACCACTGAGGCCCACCACATATCCCCGTGGCCCACCACATACCACTGAAGCCCACCACATAGTCCCGTGGCCCACCACTTACCACTGAGCCCCACCACATACCCCTGTGGCCCACCACATACCACTGAGGCCCACCACATACCCCCGTGGCCCACCACATACCACTGAGGCCCACCACATACCCCCGTGGCCCACCACATACCACTGAGCCCCACCACATACCCCCGTGGCCCACCACATACCACTGAGGCCCACCACATACCACTGAGGCCCACCACATATACCCGTGGCCCACCACATACCACTGATGCCCACCACAACAGCGGACACACACACACACTGTGTGCACAACTGAATATTTCTAAACCATTAAACTTTTCCAAACATGACATTCTACTCAGTTTATTTGTTTGATCCAAGTGTGTATGGACTACATAGTGTGTTGATGCTATGGTCAGACGTGAGGCGACAACTACGTCTCTCCTGTGGGTATGATCTTAGCATACACCTCGACACATACACCTTGATGCACACATACACAGCGATACGCACAAACATTGATACATATATATACGCCCCGATACACAAATCACGATTCACACACACTCGCGCACACACACGTACGCCTCAATGCACATACATGCGCCCCAATATAGACACATATGCCCCGATACACACATGAACGCCCCAATACACACACACACGCCCCAATGCACACACACACACACACACACACACACACACACACACACACACACACACACACACACACACACACACACACACACACACTCCCAACCTGGATAGGCGGGATCCAAGAGCCAATGCTCGATCCCGTAAGCACAAATGAGTACACACACACACACACACACACACACACACACACACACAGAGGCGGGACCTCTGAGGCGGGACCAAAGAGCCAGAGCTCAACCCCCGCAAGCACAATTAGGTGAGTACACACACACACACACACACACACACACACACACACACACACACACACACACACACACACACACACACACACACACACACACACACACACACACACACACACACACACACAATCAGTATGATTACAAGGTATTCTCTAGTTACACCAATATAAGACCTCAGGCAGACTATTGTTGTTCAAAATATGCTAAGGTTCCTGGTCTCCTACACAGCTCCTTCAAGCTAAGTGAAGGCCAACGTAGCTTCTATTAAGAGTTTGTTTGCACTTGCAAACAAATGTTTGTTGTTTTTAACATCAACCTTTGTTTGATGTTAAAATCCCCCATCTCCCAGGATGTTTAGTCACACAGGGGCATGTGGTCAGTAGCCTGCACTTGCAAATTTTTTGTGCATTATGTGGGTATGTTAATGAGCCCGCGAGAGGATAAAGTGATTGCAAAGCTCAAAGCACCTCATTCCGGCAGGTCTGACGGATCAAATGACTGGACAATCGAGTGTGTAGTGAGAGAGCTCACATCCCAGTCGCTGGCCACAGTGTGGAGACGCGGAGTGCTCAGGATTGGGAGATTCGTTACATTCAGCCACCAGCCACAGGTGGCTCTCTGGGGAGATTACGAAAACAGTCTACGGTGGGGGACTGCCACGTTTCATTACCACGTTTTGTGTAACTTGATGATGGAACTCAATGCGACTGGCTGTGAATGATGGCTTGCGTATGTACACGTATTTGAGCCTGCAGGATAAGGCTTCAGCTCTAAGACTCCGCCTTTTCAACAGTCTTTTGTCTAATGCAATGACTACTGGCCTAAATTTTTCAATTGATATTTCTTTAAAAACCTGTCTTTTTCAACTTCTTGCTTGTCTTTGAACGAGGCACCACAATGGGGCTTCATTCTCTACAACATGTTTGATGTAGGTGGTGCAGAGTGCGTGTGTATCTGTGCGGCGCGCGCGCGCGCACTTATTTGCATCAGAAGAAATCATTTCCAACTGTGGAACTCTGGCTAGGGGGGTATTTACCTGGTGCAACTGATCAATTTGCCTATGACATCGTCATATTTGCATTTGAAACTGTTATGGAGTTTGCCGCCACTGTCCTCCTCTTCTCCTTTCCACTTACTCTCTGCTCTCTCGATGAATGGACACTTTTTGTATACAATATCTCGCTTTTTTCCAGGTTACATTTGTGTTTGCTCTCGAATCGAAATGCTTTTGTCTGCTTTATCGACCTCCAGTGTGTGTGTGTGTGTGTGTGTGTGTGTGTGTGTGGGGGTGTGTGGGGGTGTGTATACTCACCTAAATGTGTTTTGGGGTCGATTTTCAGCTCCTGGTCCACCCTTTTAAGATTTGGTAGTTTGAGGCCATTCATGATGTCATACAGCACCCTCTATCCAGGAGTCAGTATCCATACTGATGCCCAAGACAGTGAAAGCCAGCCAGGCACTGGTAACCAGAGGCTTTCCCAAGCAAGTCGGCGGCCGGTATAGCAGCAGCCAGTTACCGGTAACCGTATACGGGTATAGCAGCAGCCAGTTACCGGTAACCGTATACGGGTATAGCACCAGGCAGGCCCCAGTAGCCAGAGGCTCCTAGACTTCTCTTGTACTGAGGGAGACGGATCAATATTGTGTACCAGGAGAGAACTCTCTCTGTCTTTGTCATGAAAGAGACGGGAGTGGTGACGTGTGTGTGACGGGACTGAGGACATTGGGCACGGGCAGGGACAAAAATCCCAGGACGCGTACATTAAACAGATTGCCAACATACCACATGAAACATTATCAGGTTATCAACATACCACATGGAACACTGTCGTCTTGAAACTGAGGCATGATAACAAGGGCTTCTGCTAGTAAACAATGCCGTTCAAATATTTACTGAGGAAAATTACCTGGAGTATACCTGTTGTGTGTTCTGAGAGTTTTCCTACTAAGCTCGGCCCGGGGCTAGGCTTGTCTTGGGATAACTTGGTCCAACAGGCGATTGCTTGGAGAGGCCCGGAGGTCCTTATAGCCACTACAACCTGGTTGGTCCGGTTCCTTACCGATGGAACCCTCCCTATTCCCGTCAATTCTTAAGCTTACACTTAGTTGAGTGTTTAATAAATCACTGAAATATATGTTTACCAGATATTTAACCCCGTCCATGGAAGACAGAAGAAAATGTATATATGCTGGTTAGCATTGTAAATGTCTGGCCACGTCTGTGGTAGAAAATAGTAATAATAATAATAAAAAAAACTTACATACTTACTTACTTACTTACTAACAATACTTACGATCCCCGTCCATCTTCCCTTAATCTTTGACCGCTGTTTACATTTGCTAACGATAATTGGACTGAAAATGTTCTTTTACATATCTCAGTGACTTAACTGTGACTCTAATTTCCATCCTTAATCTTGTATGTCTTTATCATGTCTCTCTTAATAATTCTTTCTTTAGCTCAGAAACGAGCAAAGTTGCATATGTCCGAATTTGTTCTAGTTTCTTGACGTACGGTCCCATCGAACCCGGGTCTCTGGATTGTGAGTCGCGGACGCTGACCACTCGTCCGCGAGGCCCTGTGTGCACTCATGTAGCTTACAGTAATTAGCTAAGTGTAGTTACACGATGAGGGCTATGCTCGTGGTGTCCCGTCTTCCCAGTACTCTTTGTCATATAACGCTTTGAAACTACTGACGGTCTTGGCCTCCACCACCTTCTCACCTAACTTGTTCCAACCGTCTACCACTCTGCTTGCGAAAATGAATGTTCTTATATTTCACTTCCTAGTGCATTCCATTCACTAACTACTCTGACACTGAAATAGTTCTTTCTAATGTCTCTGTGGCTCATTTGGGTACTCAACTTCCACCTGTGTCCCCTTGTTCGTGTACCACCCGTGTTATATAGTCCGTCCTGGACTACCCTGACAATTTCCCCTGAGCATTTTGTATGTGGTGATCATG